ATTATTTGCATTGCGTAAACGAATTTAACTTTGAAGAACTTGACTTTTCTTTGATTCAAAAGCAACCGTTATATTATATACATAATATGTACATGTACTACATATTTAATATTTAACAGTTAAATTTTCTTTCTTAATCGGCGCTTGAATATTTTAAAGGGAGAAAAATTTCAAAATTGTCTTTATAAACTTTAATACCTATACATAATTTTGCATCACATCACATCTTCAGAACGGTTACTTACGTAAGAGTGTCGAATATTCTTTAATTTTGATTAACTATGCATCGATAATTGTGTTAATTGAAAATCCCTTTCTTTCCCTTTCAATAATTTTTGATGCAAAATATCTCTTAAATAGGGATATTACCCACAATCTGGCATCACTGCCAACAAATTGAATTTCCGTATTGTCTTTTTCACTACTTGGACAGCATTGTTATTCAGTATTGCACAGCCTGCCGTCATTACCGTATATATTTGAATATTTTTTGTATTTGCAAAAAAAAAACACTTTAACACCCAATGCGCCTTTTTGTTGACATGCTGGCAATAACTTTGGCATACCGGGCGTTTACAATTTCTTTTTCAACTATGCAATGAACGCATATACATACATATACATCCGAGTAAATTCATATGTGTATTATTTTGTATAAAGTTAAAATTAAATCCCTCTCGCATTATTCCCAGAAGTACACATAATTTGTATGCTCAGATAAATGATTTCGTGTGAATTAAAAAATGTAAAGTTTCAACCAAAATCACGAAACTTGCCTAAATTTATGAAGTATCGACATTTCGGTTTGTACTTTTTCCGAAACAAGATTTGGCATTAAGCGCTGCTAATCTGGACCGCCGTGTCGTCATGTATGTACGTACCTTTGCAAGAGGTGGGTTAGTATTGAAAATGGGTTGAATTGCACTATAATTATTAGTCTTATCTTCTACATTAAAGTAATTTTTGGAAATGCAAAAATTTGCTCAAAACTTAAATTTACTTTAAAGTTTTAGGTTTAAATTTAAATATGTTATTTAATTTATGAATTATTTAATAAATTTGTGTAGACCACTTAATCTGCTACTAGAGGTCGAAATAAATCTCTTAGGTGCTGTTACGCAGACGGTCATATGATCCCTGATCACCAATTGTTGTTGCGTTGACTGCAAAGGGGAAAAAGGGAGAGTGAACCAGAGAACTGAACCGCATGGCCAACCGGTTAAAGTTTGACCAGCCCGCTGAGACCGAATCACTGATCATAAAAGGATGGGCTTTGAGTATAATTTTCTATTTGTTCCTCTTAGTAGCGAAATGGAGTATTTTTGGAACTATTTTCTCCTTTTAGTAGCATAATGGTACAAAGTAGTAAAATAAGTACACATACTTTTTGCTAATTACGCTGGTCATTTGACCATCTACATAATATCCTGTTGAACAAAGAGATATAGCACATTATCTGCAACCGATTATTTATTACCAGTAGCTCACTAGAACAAAATATGTATTCATTTTCACTATGTGAATTGTGTGTAAATTCTAAACTTCAAAGCTGTTTTTCTCGAGATTTTGATTTTTCGGATTATGACGATATGGTCGTCCGCGTAACAACGCCCTTACGTTTCAAAAATTCCGCCAGGCTTAGAAAGTTATACCGATTAAAATATTGATTTGTCCACTCAATTTAACAGGAAATATTTTAAATTAATTTAAAACTATGGGCGACTAGCGCATCGCTGCTTATATCAATGACGGTTTATTTCTTGGTCATCGTATCAAGTTGGAAGAAATATTATTTTGTAGAGAAAGGAATTATCTACATAATTGCAGTGGTTAGTAGTAAGCTGCTTATCACTTTCCCGTAATCGATTGTTAATTGATTGATTTGTTTTGTATGAAATATGAGAAGGAAAAATAATGGTACTCATACGCCATGTATCCATACAACAGATCAAACAAGAAAACGACAACATTCGATAACGCGAAGGTGATTAGGTGATTAGCCGCAGCATAGTACTTGCCAATGCTATTACATACATACATTACATTGGCATACTTGCCAATACATACTGGACTTGTTTGATTGCTTTGTATGTACTTTTATAAGAATAAACAATTCTAAAGAAAATTCTTTAAAGAGAGATTGACACTTTGTGTAGTTGATTTGTAATGTGGCTTTTTGTCAACCAGACAAAAAAATTAATTTTTATTTCTCAATGTTATTGTGGCTTGTTAACATTTTTTTTTATTTTTAATATTTTTATTGAGCTTTGTACCACGATTGTTTATTAGGAAAAATTGAAAAAGCAACAAAGTCTAAGCGGTAGAAGTTATAGCACTATTTCGGAGATGACCACATCTCCTCATCAGACTTCTTTTTCTAGACTTCAGCAGGGATCGAACCTGCAACAAGAGTTTACGGGATGTACATAGCTCAGTGGTTAACGCTTCTGACTTTGAACATCGAATTCGCAGGTTCGATCCCTGCTGAAGTCTAGAAAAAGAAGTCTGATGAGGAGATGTGGTGATCTCCGAAATAGTGCTATAACTTCTACCGCTTAGACTTTGTTGCTTTTTCAATTTTTCCTAATAAACAATCGTGGTACAAAGCTCAATAAAAATATTAAAAATAAAAAAAATTAATTTTTTTTTTTACTAAAAAGTCGCCAAATAAAATAATAAATAAACTAAAAGAATTTCATTCCTTTAAATTTCAAAAAGCAAAATCATAAAAATTTGGTACTATTTATTATCTCCTTAATTTGGATAAATTGAAAAAAAAAAACGATCCGGAACTCCATTTTACAGTTTTTTTATAATTGCTTTGCAACTTTTATCATTGTAGTAATAACCTGAGATGATGCTGCTGGCGCATGCAGTTGATATTGCCATCGTCGGCCTGAAACTCAAAGACTCCAACGTATGATGACGTATAGATGAAAAAAAAAGTTTAGAAAAATAAGCAAAGACGGTTAGTGTCGCGGTGAAAAAGGGCTGCGTTTGATGAGGTGTCCAAATACATTTTCGACAGTAAACTCTCTTAAGGCTCTTTAGTTTAACACCAGTATTGTAATATTACATTTATTCTATCAATTTAAATGAATAACATTTTTCAAACAGATGACAACCCCCTCAAAATTATTTGCGGCAGTAAAGTTTTCTAAATCTTTTTCGTTCGATATCCATATTACAATACAATTTATCTTATTAATGTGATTTAATCAAAATCTTTAAACAGGTGGCAACCTTCCACAAACATTTTTTCGGCTGCAAGCCTTTTTAAACGTTTTTCGTTTGACAGCCATATTGCAATATTTAGTTTGTTTATGAACTTACCTAGACTGCGATTTTAAAACAAATGGCAACTCTTATTTTTTTATATTTTAAGTTTGACCTTAAGCAATACATCGGTGAAAACTGCATTCTATGCCATGCATTGGTTTTCGAGTGATTCTAAAAATTGTTGATTTGGCTTCTGTTGCTATAATTAAGACACCTCATATTAATTTTTCTTTAATACCTATAATGTACAGACATCGGCCTGTTACAACTTTATTATATGTATAGATTCTTAAAACATAAGCATGTTAACCTTATTATGCCCAATAAAGTGAATCAAAATGTAAGAAGAATGTTTCTCTTTATCAAAAAGCCATATAAAAAATTAAGTAAACAATTCTCTTCAAAATTGATCATTTTTAAATAAAATAAAATAAATGTGCATGATTAGTAGACAATTATCGCAGAACTCGTAAGCTTACAAAATATGCGTTGGGTGTATTCAAGGGGACATGATGTGAAATACTATCAGTTGCAGGTCGGAAAAGATCCATAGGACATCCAAAGACCTATGTGAGAGGATCCGCTTAAGTTAAAGGTAGTTGAATGGATTGCCATTTCAACATTGAGAAATGTTGCGATGAGCTCTATCTATAGCTATGAAAATATCTTCAGAGGGTAATGCTTAACAATGGGACTGGTTAAGATGTCGTCAGCTAGGTTTATTTGCTCTTACAATTTCTCTCTTCATAAATCTGTAGCAGACTCGTAGGACTGATATAAGTTTTGATTTTTAAGTTAGTAAAGGGGTATAGATAATTTTTAAATTTCAACTTAGGAAAGCTAAATGCTTATTTAAGAAGATACACTTAAAGCCCAACATATTTCGCTAGATATGTGAAACTCTGAAAGAATATGTATATGCATATGTGATTCGGGTCCCACCTGTTCATCAACACGTACATATACACATACTGATACTTAGACCTGCACATACTTCTACCTGGAATTTTTTGTACTTTGCCCTTTCCTGATTAGAAGACGCGTGATTCGCATTTACATTTATTACCCTCATTTTGTCTAGGCAACTCCCTTTGTATGTTTCTGAATCTACACCAATTGTTTCCGCTCGATTTCTTTAGTCAATAAATGGACATACGT